GATGGGTTTTAATCCATTTCAGTTATTATCATTAATGAAGCTCAAATTATTCCATCTTTGGCCAGTGGGAGCCTTTTGAGATTGGCTCCTGAGTCCTAGAATTAGCCATTTCTCTAAGAAGCTCTGGTCTCTAAGGGATGCTCAATGATGCTGGATTGGCCTTTGTTTGTAGGCCTTTTCTGTAATCAGAGTTAAGAAATATATGCACATATTTAAGATAAAATAAAATACCTCACAAGGTCATATTGATGCTTCCAATTAAAACTCTAGACTACAGTGTATTTGAATCTTCCTTCTATATCTCCTTTTCTCTGTGCCAAGAATCCTGGTCTTTCAGACACAAGTGATTATAGAATTAGAAAATCCCATAATTATTCATTTGTTTTTATCCCACATTACACATGCAATAGTCTCAGAATGACAATAGTAATACTACTGAAAACATTAAAAAGCATACTTTTGCTTATACTCTCACCATCTTTACAGCATTTAGGACTGGCAGTGTCTTCTGAGACATTGTTTGTTTAGCAAAATGAAATGTTTGCTTAGCAACATTTTAGAGCACCTTCTCTTTCTCAGACTCCCTGCTACAAAGGAGGAAGAGACACAACCTTGTTCTCTAAAAGCTGGGTTGTTGGGTTACGTGGTGTCATTCTGGTATAGGAAGGCATGGCCCCAAAATCTGGGTTTTTATTCTTCTTTAAAGGTACTGTTAATGATGTAATTGCATACTTCCTAAAATAAAACTCTTTCATTTTCTACTCTTGTCAGGGAGCAGCTTCCATTGGGTGGAGATGCTTGATACTTCCTAATCTCTTGTTACCTAGTGTATTAGTCAGGTTGTGCAGAGAAATACAGCTAGCAGGAGATATATCTATGTATGCTATCACAGCTTTTGTGGATGCACTATAGATAGATGGATGGGAAGATAGGTTAATAGAAGAATAGGATATACTAGCTAGATAGATAGATAGGGAGAGAGAGTTAGTTTTTATGTTAAGGAACTGGCTTACATGATTGTGGGAGCTGGCAAGTGTGAAATTTGTAGAGTAGGCCAGCAGGCAGAAATTTTAGGTAAACGTTGTTGATGTAGTCTTGAGTCCAAAATTTGCAGGGCAGCCCAGCAGACTGGAAACTCAGGCAGGTTTCTGTGTTGCAGTCTTGAGGCAGAATTGCTTCTTTCTTGGGAAAGTTCAGTCTTTGCTCTTAAGGCCTTCAACTGATTGGTTGAGGCCCACCACATTATGGAGAGTAATCTGCTTTAAAGTCAACTGATTGTAAATGTTAATCACATCCACAGGGACTGTCACAGAGACACATAGACTAGTGTTAGACCAAACAGCTGGGCACCGTAGTCTAGCCAAGTTGACACATAAAATTAACCACCAAGGTTAGGTTAGCCATTTAATTTATTGCCCAAACTGAGATTCTTTTGAGAATAAGAATTACTGAAAAATAATAAAATTGTATAATTTTATTTGTTGACTAACAGATTTATTTTTATTGTATTTTAAAAACAAGTTTATTTCTGAAAAATGTTAACATATTTCCATGTTAATATTAAAAAAAAAACCCAAAACATCACAACAAACATCACAACAAAATTATTTCATACTGATTTTTTTCAACTTTAAAAAGACCATAAATAGAATTCTCAGTAGAAGCCCATATACATTATTTAGTTTCTTAGTCATAATTTGTCTGTAGTACTGGGTCTCTGTATGTTTCTGAAAGGAATGTAGTTTTGAAACACAATTGTATTGTTTTTAATTGTTTCGTAAAATTATAGTCTTCAGAGTTTCATTTTATGATTACTAAACTTGAAACTTGATTCTTTTCAGTAGTTACTAATTGCTGTAAATCATTATCTTTAAATTTGAGAATATAATATCTGTATAGATACTAAGGTACCTGGTAAGTTCAAAGCAAATTCTACTAAATTGAGGTCATTCTAAATTTTGATTTTTTTTTTTAGTAGTTTAACAGGGAAATATTCCAGCCCATATATTTTCACAGGTACTGTCTTTTTACTCTATTTAGAGTACCTTTATTCAATGACATTTTTACAAGAGAAGGCTTGTCAGATAAGTTGTATTTATTTAGAAGTCTTCTGAACATTTTACCAGATTTTTTTTTTGTTTTAATTTTTAAAATTTTTATTCATTTATTTTTGGCCGCACTGCACAGCATGCGGGATCTTAGTTCCCTGACCAGGGATCGAACCTGTGCCCCCTGCAGTGGAAGCACGGAGTCTTAACCACTGGACTGCCAGGGAAGTCCCGCATTTTACCAAATTTAGATGCTGCTAGATTGTAAGCATTTGAAAGTCCATTTCATCCTGGTACAAAGTATAAACTTATCTAAGTAAAAAAACTGGTTCTCTGTATAAATTAAATCTGAATTAAAGATTTCCAACTGACTGAACAAAATGAAGCCAAGATTTAGAGTGCTCAGCTGAAAAAATTTCAATGCTATTGATGATTTTACTAAGTGAGTCTTAAAAGCCTCCAAGATTTCTAAGTTATGTAGCAACAAGAGAAAACAGGTACTGCCATGTTGGAGTAGTATTTTTTTTTTTTTTTTTTTTTGCGGTACGCGGGCCTCTCACTGCTGTGGCCTCTCCCGTTGCGGAGCACAGGCTCCGGACGCGCAGGCCTAGCGGCCATGGCTCACAGGCCTATCCTCTCCGCGGCACGTGGGATCTTCCCGGACCGGGGCACGAACCCGTGTCCCCCGCATCGGCAGGCGGACTCTCAACCACTGCGCCACCAGGGAAGCCCGGAGTAGTATTTTTTTTTATTCAACGTTATCTTTGTCACACGAGTGACGGTTTCTTTGTGTGTGTGTGTGTGTGTGTGTGTGTGTGTGTTTAAGTATTTGTCAGTTGTGATTGCTAGACTGTCACATCTTTGGTGGATGTAATTGTGGGACGTGTTTGCTTCTACTTTGGTCATATTTTGCCGTTCACGTGGTACAGTTGTGAATTATATGTGAATCACAACCAGGTCCAAGTTTATTTCTGTGCCGTACTTTTTAAAATTAGTAAGACCATTGTTTTTTACTCTATGATTCTGTGCTTGACCAAAGTTTGTATTTGTGTATCTCTGTAAAATCAAATATAGTCTATCCTCATTATTTATAGGTTCCATTTTGCGAATTCTCCCTACTCACAAAAGTTTATTTGTCACCCCCAAATCGGCATTCTTGGTCCTTTTGTAGTCATTTAGGGCCATTTGCAGAGGAACAGAAAATGTGGATTGCTTAACACACTTGTTCCCAGCCGAGGTAAAGCAAGGCTTTCTTCTTTCAGCTTTCAAACTCTAAACAAGTATCCTTTTTGTGGTGCCACTTTTCTTTGTATTTTTGTGCCTCTTGTCGGTGATTTCACTGTTTACAGTGACTCCCAGGCATAGTATGTTGTATATTGTTCCTAAGTGCAGGAAGGTCGTGACGTGTTGTACTTTACAGAGAAAATACGTGTCTTAAGTAAGCTTTATTCAGGCATGAGCTGGTGCGATGGACTGTGAGTTCAATGTTAATGAATCCGTAATATATATTAAATATAGTGTCTTTATACAGAAAGACACGTAACGCAAGGTTATGTTGGACCAGTTGAAGAAGTTGTAGCCAGAGGCTCCCAGGAACCTAACTCTGTTTCTCCTTTAAGAGCAGTACTTTGGTATTTGCTAATTCAGTGTTCACGGTGACCTTATAGAACTTCACTGCTGCAGTAATGAAAACTGACTCTAATTGCATCTTTGTTGTTGAACTTCCTAACTGAGTTTAAATAGCAGCTACAGCGATGTCAGGCATATCACATAGTACAGAATGAACTTCCAAAAGCTTTACTTTGATTCCATGAATTGGATGAAAACTATCAACCCATAATTGGAATTAACTGATTTCTATTTAATGTATCTCCTGACACTGATAGAAAGCTGGCATGACTTAAGTGTAAATTTCTTCTGCTAATAGAGCCAACAAAATAACAGCTGTCACTTAATTTTAACTATGTAAACAAGACACTTTGTAATCAGAACTGAGCAAGATTAAAGACTAGTCATTTGATCTAAATGAAAAGTCATGCTTTATAGAATAATATATAAAACATCTTCTTCACCTGCTTTTCTGAAATTGGTATCTTCGAGCTACTCATAGTTGGGGCAGCAGCATTTTGAATATTTTTTCCACCTCCACCGAAGACTGCAGGATTTAGCTGTCCCTCGGCCTCTCCTGTCCAAGTGCACTTCCTTTTTCTGCTCATGGTTTGGGTGCTGACTTTGAGAACGAGGTGTCAGTTATAGCCCATCCAGAGAGAGGTCTTTCACATTTAACCACGGGTTAAATTGACAATTGGATTCACTGCGCGTGTATCTCACAGCACTCACCAAGATCTGGGCACAGCTTGGAAGTAAATGTTCTGGCTTATTATAACACTCTTGTTAAAAAAAATCGCTAGAAAGTGGAGAATCCAGGACAAATAATAAATTGCGGGGGGGGGGGACACTGTGACAATGGACCTAAGTTGAGACTGTCTCAGACACACATGGTCGCTTTACCAGACACGTGTCTTTTCAAAAACCTCCTAACCCCAAATTCCTGATTACTGTTTTCCCCTCACAAAGGCTGTGCCCTCAATGTGATTCACTTGTTTGTGACTGCTTAGTAATTTCCACAGCATTATGCACATGGAAAAGAATGTGAAACATTCTTATTAGTCAGTTTTATTCATTGTGGCACTTCCTTCTTTCTAGAACATTTTCTGTTTATCTTAAAACTTGTATTAAATTTTGCATGCCTTCATTTTTAAACATTTTTAAAGACATGTAATAAATTTATGGTATTGTTCTTCCTTAAATTAGTTCTTTTGTTATTTTAATAAAAATGTCATACAATAATTTTTAAAATTTGGGAATGAAAGGAATACAGTTGTTAACATATATTTGATAAAAATGGATTATCTGAATATGATTCTGATAATACTTTATATTCTGTTACAGGATTAAATTAAAAGGATTTACCATACATCTTATGACTCTTTACTGGAGCCTTGGGAGATAGGTAAGTGACAAGCATTTTTTGAAGAGATATTTCTGAAACATTAAATGATTTGATCTCATAGGTTCCTGACAAAGTAGACAATGGAGTATATCTTACTTCAGTGATTTACCTCTTTTTCTCCTCAGTAAAAATGGTAGAAATACCGTGTTTACATGAATGTAATGTAACATTCTCTGGCATCCAATAAATCATATTTTCCAGGGAGTTTTAAGTTTATTTTGTATAATAATTATACAGAGAACATTGTCAATAAGAGAAACAAGTTAGGCATATTTCAAAAGTTAAAGCCCTAAAAAAATCGTTAAATGCGAAGTGGTGTCCTGGATTGTATCTTAGAACTGAAAAAAGACATCAGTGAAAAACAGGTGAAATCCAAGTAAAGTTTATAGCTTAGTTAATAGTAAATGTACCAATGTCAGTTTCTCAGTATTGACAAATGTACCATGGTAGTGTAAGATGTTAACTTTAGGTGGAATTTGGTGAAAGGAATACAGGAACTCGGTAATATCTTTGCAACTCTTCTGTAAATCTAAAATTATTCCAAAGTAAAAATTTTTCTTTAAAGCCAAAAAAAATCGAGATTTATTTGAAAATTATAGTTTAGAAGTAGCTTTTCTGTGTAATAGTTTGAAAAATCAAAATAATTAATTACCTTTAGAAAAACCCAGATGCCGTGCATTAGAGACGCAGGGAAATATGTGATGATAGGTTTCACTTTTCAGTTCATGGGAGGCGTGGGATTTCATTTTCTTGACATTGGCCTGGTGTCCATGAACATCTCCTTGAGCTCGGTTACAGACTTGCTCTTTGATTCCTTTAAGGTACTTGTGTGTTCTTTGGTGGTTTAGTACAGCTCTTTCTGTTAACATAAGCAGGCCCTTTCCAGGGTTCCCAGTGTACCGCTTTTTTCTTTTTCTTTTCTTTTCTTTGATGTACTGTTACGGGCAAAAAGGCCAGTGATGTGACTCAGTGGTTTGGAGTTGAGACCCTTTTAGGGTGGTTTTGTTCAGTCACATCTACTTGAGCTTCTAGGTCAGGTGCTGGACTCAGCTGACCTGTCGTTAAAGAGCCATTTCTGTAGTTGAGCTGAAATAATTGATTGCTGTCAGATAATTGAAACTGTCAGTTTCCAAAATGAACTCTGGCAGTATAACTCTTTTAAATTTCTATAAATATTAAAAGACTATAAGAACGGAGCTCCGTAGTTTGCTGAACTATTACATAACTTGTCATTAATAAAAGTAAAATAGCCCTGCCGGCCTTATAAATGGTCTCCTGCTGCTGCTGCCAACTTTAGTGATTTTAGTTCACCGTAAATTTCATGAAGGGAAATAGAAGTATCTTCTGCTTAAAGGATTTAGATGTTTACAAGCGCAGACCCAGGCCGGGGTGACTTTTGCAGGGTAGTTGTTAGGCTCGGAGAGTTCTGTTTTGCTTGACGATATTTGTTCAGAATTGGTGGTGTAAATTCTACTGGCATGAGATTGATATCTTTACTTCTTAGTGATGTAGCATAATTGTGCCAACCTTGGTAGGAAAGTTTAGAAAAAGGGAGGAGCATTTTTTCAGGACAAGTTGAAATTCCATTGATCAAATTATAGTCCACACATAAAATCAAGCAAAAAAGCTTTTCATTCTTCCGTGCTGGAAGAGCCTTGCAAGTGTTGTTTCTGGAGACATGCTTTACCACTCAGCTGGCTGGCTGTTACTTTATGGTCACCTAAAGTATAAATGGGGGTATAGCTAATAGGCACTGAGCGCTTTCTATGTACCAGGCACTTTGTTTACAGCGATCTCATTTAATCTTCACGAACACCTATGGGCTAGTTTGGAACTCCCATCATAGATGAGGCTGGAGGGTAACATGTCTCCAGGGCAACCCTGAAGGTGTGGGGCAGAAAGGGCTGACTGCCACAGTGTGCAGTACCTACAGTTTAGTTCCTAGTATTGCCAGCTTCCAGGGAATCCTGAGCCTGTGGACACACGGTAAACTTCAGATTACAACAACTCTTCTGGGTAAAAGGATGTCTGATCATACCGGGTGACCTAGAGCGGACTCCCCCCGGGGTAATGGGCCTGGAGTGGAGTCTCCTGCTGCCCGTTGCAGCCGTGCCCTGGCTCATCCTCTGGTTCCCAAGCACGTCAGTTGTTCTCTGTCACCTGATGAATTGCCGAACAGTCACGCATTGTGTGCTTCATTGATCAGATGCCAAGAACTCTTGGCAGCGCTGGGGAGCATGATCTCAGTGTGCCTCCTGGTCAGCGCTGGGCAACTGGAAGTTGTTAGTGGGGGTGAGAACTTGGATCCAGAAGCCAGGACCCATGCCAGAGGCCAGGGATGGGGTAACTGAGCAGCGGGCATGTGAAATGGAGCTCTCCAGACTCCGTCAGCTGGCCAGGAGGCAGAAGGAGAGTTGCACGTGACTTTGAAAGGTGGTCTTTGAAGAAGATTATGACGTCTGGCTGTGGATTTTGTAGATATAAAATACTCCCAGTTGCTTTTTGAGGAAGAATGAGAATGTTGCCAACTTACACATCATAGTGCTTGTTACAATGGGCAGAAACCGCTCTCTCTGAAGCTTTTCCCCGTCAGTTCTAGCCATGTCTTTCTGTGGCCCTAAATCTCCAGTCCTTCTTATACGTGAAAGCATAAAACGCACACAGGATTACAAACTCTCCTTCTCGGTCTCCTCTTCTTCGTGGTCTCTGACGGTTGGTGTCCTTCAGGGCTCTGTCCTTGGTTGCCTTCGCTGCCTATTCTCTATGTGATCTCATGCATCCCTCACTTTAAATACCGTGTGTCCCCCCCAGTTTATTTCTTTGCCTTGATCTCTCCGATGAGCTCCAGGCTCCTATCCGTCTGCCTATCCAACGTCTCTATTCAGAAGCCCAGTAAGCATTTCAGACTTACGTATGTGCAGCGGGACGCCTGGTCTCTCTTCCCCAGACATGCCCTCCAGCTTACTCAGCGGTCCGCTCAGTTGCTCGGGCCAAAACCTAGAAATCGTCTTTGACTTTTCTCTTTGCTTCTTAACCCAGATCCAGTCTATCGGGGGGCTTAGATGTCTTCCTTTCAAAATATATGCCTTTGCTGCCATTGCCCCCACTGCTACTCTAGTATAATTGTATAATGTAACTTATAATCACCATTGTAAGTTACCTAGATGACAGTAATAGTCTCCTCGCTGGCCTTCCTTATCTCTAGTCCGTGCTCCATATAGCAGCGAAAGTGGGTTTTGTTTTGTTTTGTTTCGTTTGTTTGAGTTTTAATGTTAAACAGTTCCTGTCCTTCCCCTGTTCACAACCCTGTAGTGTCTCCCCACTACACTCAGGATAAACTTCTCACCCCGTTCTACCAGGCCCTGCATGTTCTCCCTGCTGCCTTTTCGCCTGCCGTTCTCTGTGTGCTCATGTGGCTCTATAGCCACAGTTGCTTTCTTGCTGTCCCTTAAATTCTCCAAGTCCATTCGGAATTGGCTAAATCCCTCCTACCCCCTACCCTATATCCTCATCCTGACCATTTCAGCTTTTAACCTGGTGCCAGTGGAGGTAGATTTAGAGAGAAAAGTACATTTCTAAGGCTCTGTAGCACATGTAGTGGGAGAGGTCAGAGGTCACCCTAGAAGTTTTGCAGTCTCGTTGTTCCAAGCTTCTGTAATTTGAATTGCTCTCAAGCGTAAGAGGGACTGGAGATGTAGAGCTGCAGAAAGACTTTGCTAGAATTGATGGGGAGAAGTTACAGAGAGAGAGGTTTCTGAGGAGAGAGAACATTGGATAAGCAGTAGAAGGAATAAGTTGGTAACAGTGGCATCTGCGTATAAATAGACCGGGCTACTGCAGAGGACAGCGGGTTCTTTGTCACTGACGTGTCAGCTTGAGGCTGATCAACCTCCTGGGGTGTTGCAGAGGAAGATGGGCTAGAGTGGGGGAGGGGAGAGTGGTTTTTCTCCCCAGAGTTGGTCTCCCCAACTCTGAGATTATATCCGTTTTCAGAATCTTCTTTTTTCAGACGACTCCTCCTGTCTTTGTATTGGGAAGCTTTCATCCATAAATTATAAAGGTGAACTTCTAGGTGAAGTTCCCAGCATTTGAGGTGAAAGAAGAGCTCCTATCGAGGTACTCAGGTGGACAAAGTCCTCATCGAAGGCGTTTCCTTGGAGGCATTTTTCTTTCTTTCATTTTTCAATTTAAAATTTATTTAGATTGAATTAGGTCTGAAATAAATAATACACAAATTCTGTAATAGATTTTAGTTATTAAACAAAAGTGTACTGAGTCTCAGAAGTAAAGAGCATGACATTTGGAAGTGGCCTTTGGTCAGAGTTTGCGAGAAATGGAAAGTTCATCCTACTCTGATGCCAGAAGCGCTTTGAGAAGGACTGACTGTGCTTCCCTGTGTCATCCACGGCGATCCAGCCATCCCCTTCTCTTCTCTTGGAAAGACAAAAATAGGATTTAAATAATAGAGAACTTTAAGTTATAAGCGCTTTTAGTTAGACCCCAGAAAGTCTATTAATGCAAATTCCAGTTTCTTATAACCACTGAACTGTGGAACTTGGAATTAGTGGTATAGGAAGGAATGATTTTCAGGCACTCTGTGATACTAAAGTATTTTATACTTGATTGCTCTGGTAACTAGCACCTAAATAATAGGATGACACACTTAAAGATCGCCCGCAGCCTGACACGGCTGCCTGTACCGCCCGGGTCCGGTCCAGCCTGCCCCCGTGCATATGCGGGCGCACTATGTGAAATCAGCGTTCTAATGAAGACACCGTTCTGCCTCTAAGGAAGGCCTGAACTCTGTAACATGTTTTCACCTAGAATCTCTCTGGTTTCTCTGTCTTCTCCAGGCTTCTGACTTTGCTCCCCTCTTTCCCATTAGAGTGACCTCTGTCTTTTAGATTTGACTCCTTCTTCTTATCTTTTTTTTTTTTTTAACGGATATTATTATTTTTAAAAAATCTTTATTGGAGTATAATTGCTCTACGATGGTGTGT